ACAAATATAACTCCTAAGTACAAACCATACTATTGTTCAGTAAACAAAAAGAACTATTCATTGTTCTCTTCACTGCTCATATCATTAGAGATATCATCTTCATTAACCAGTTTCCCCTTAAAGACATCTTTGTCGATGTGAACTTCTGTCAAGTCCATGTTTGGGGCAACACATTTCACTTGTCGTAAGGCTTTAGAAAATCCCCTCTTGTGCTCTACGACCACTTGATACTCAGTAGTCTCCACCTCTTTCTTTAACTTATTATTCTCATTTTCTATTTCTCCAATCTTCCTCACATTAGTAGCGATAACTTCTTGACAGGCTTTATTTTTCTTGTAAAGCTCTACCATCTCGCCTTTCAAACTTTGAATATTCCCCTCATGGTCCTTTGTTTTCTTTTCCAGCATCTTCACATTCTCTGCTTGAGCTTCTTTTTCTTTTTCTAACAAATTCACCTTCTTCAAAAGGTCCTCTACTTTAGCCGCATATGATTTGTTTGATCTCAGAGAAATGTCAAATGCCTTTGAACTCTCCTCTAATTTTTTCTTTAAATTGCCAACCTCAGCATTTAATGATCCAATCTGGGCATTCTCAATCCTCAGTTTGGACATCAGTGCAACATTTTTATCCCACTTTCTCTTCCAATGATCTACCACAGCGATAGATCTCTGTAGAAATACTTGCACGAAGTTTAAACCTTGAACAGGTCCAACCTTTTCAATTAATGCCTTATCAGCGATATAAGCTGGATCCTCCTTATAAAATGCTTTTACAGTCAACTTGGCATTCCAAAAGGAAGTCACGTTGGGTGACATACTTACATGATCTAGCCTTGACAGAGGATGCTCAGTATCATATCTTTGATGCAGTGATCTTGGACGGTTGTTTGGCCCAGATTGAGACGATCTCCCCTGTGAAGTCGGCAAGTTAAAGCCGAGTTGAGCAATAGATGCTTCCAAATTCGACACCAAATGTTTCGAAGATTCAGGAACTTGTGTACTTGGTGGCTTCAAAAGACAAATTTAAAATCAGAGCAGTCAACACAATTACGTAATGTTGCTTAGTAATGATAAAAAATATACCTTTTCTTTTTCCAGATCAATCACAGGATTTTTCTTCACTTGCTTCTGGATAGGATTTTCTTTTTCCAGATCAATAACAGGATTTTCCTCCACTTGTTTTTGGCTAGCATCACCCTCTGGTTTGGTAGTTTCTTTCACTACTTCCTTCCTCGGCATACTCGAATTAACAACATGGTCAACAGTCTTATGTTCCTTACTATGAAGGTTTTCACCTTCTATCTTTTGCTTTTTAACTTTCTATTTAGGAACAGTTGCATCCGAAATTTCTTCTATGTTAAATTTCCCCTTCAACTCACGCCATCTACTTCTTCCCATGATATGTGCATCACATCAGCCACCACAATATTATATTGACATCAATTTTAGAAATATTTAATCGTTATCAATATTACAACTATCACTTACGTTCTAGATCCTCTTGAGGATTCTTTGACCCAGCAAGCCCTAAAATCGACTTGCTTTCTAAAGGCCAAGGTAGCTTTTGCAATTTTTCTATATCTTCCAACTCGGCTGGAGTTAGTTCCAACCCTTCCGAGCCGGAAAATTTAACAGGCTGAGATTGCCAGTAAAAGGGGAATCTCGGTTCTCCATCCAAGAAAAAGACAGTCTAAATTCGGATCACTACACACAGACTGAATTTTGACAAATTCTTCTTTAAATTTTTTATATGATTGTGCAAATATCTGGAATAGTCCTCCCCCTTTTGAACTTCCACTCAACGAAACCCAACCAAAAGGAGACTCCCCTAATTTTATTTGATAAAAGTGCATAAATCTTCCCAAACTTACTTCCATTCCTAATACTGAACACAGAATTTGAAACGCACCCAAAAAACCCCAACTATTTGGGTGCAGTTGACTTGGTGCTATGTTAACTTTTTCCAGGAATCCACATTCGAATGGTGTGAATGGCATCAGAACGCCTAAATCCTTAAAGACGCATTTATACATATATATACCAGGAGACACCCTTGATCTTTCAAAATACACACGCTCTTCAGTAGAGCAAGGCTCTATTATGATTTGCTCTAGCATGGGAGGTAAGCAAAACTTTAGATGATGCTGCAGAACACTCACTCCCATTAAATCCCCAAATTTGCTACTATATTGCCCAACATCACCCCTCACCCACTCATACCCAGAAACTACGATTTTGGGATGTGAATCTTTACGATTATTTCCTCCTCTCTTTCGAACCTTTGCCTCCTCCACCTCTGTCATCTTACTTTTCCCTTTGCCACCTTTCATCTTACCCTTGTTCATTAATCTAAACCTATAAGCTAAGCATAGAAGGTGGAAGGAATTTAAAATGAAAAACAGCGAGGCTAAATGAATACCTGGAAATACAAACACCCACCAACGATGACGCTCCTTTCACACTTCCACGCTTCACTTTTTCACAACTCTCTGAACGAATAAAAATGTCTTCACATATGCAGAGCCACCCTTTAAATGCCCGCCTTTGCATCCCTCCAAAACTCAAACGTTCTCTTTATTTTTCACACATCCCAACGCGCCTGTCGTTTCGTATTTAATGCCTCTTAATGAAACATCATTACTATTACCACGCGTATGCTGAAGCGACATGACCCCTTATATGACCAGCTGTCATTACTTAAACACTGTGACTCCTCATGTCACCTCTCGTGCGCCTTTATTTCTCGGGATGTGACACCTCATTTTTGATCTCGGACATTACATTCGCTCTTAACCTCTTTCGCTCTTACATCGCTCAGAGCTTGGGGGGCTTATGTACCACCCCCGATGTAGGACCGAGATAGAACCGAGATCACACTAAGATCATAGTGTAATATATCGATTATATATATAAGCTGACTTAAACCTCGAGGTCAATAAGGTCGATACCTCAATACATAAACAACATCAAATATATATAACACGTGACAACAATGACCAACCTAACTGTAGTTAACTCACCTCGGACAACCGCTATAGCAGTTATATCGGAAAACCGCATAACCCAGGTAAAGGATAAGTATGAGAATAGACAATGAAGGAAAGACTAACTTGATCGTCGGAGTCCTTTTTGCAGGTACATCCAAGACGCTCGAGAAGGAAGACTAGAGAGAAGAGACTCGCCACAGCAACCGACCTCATATAATCTCGGCTAGACCAGAACAGGAAAGACGACATACCCGAGTTGGAGATCCAATCTGATTCGTGTAAGAACATTGTCTATCCACATGTTCTCATTCTGACATAATGAAAATGGGCAATGTGAAAATGGACAATATAAATAGGCAATCAAATCGGCTAATGTGATTGTGCAACAAAAATGGACAATGCAAATGGACAATCAGATTCGACAATGAAAATGAGCAATCAGAAGCCATGCATCCATTCCTTTAGTTTGGAAATGCAATTGTGTTTTCTCATTTTGACTTTCTCTTTATGTGAATTAAGATTTAAAATTTGATTTGATCAAGCTTATATGACCTTTTCATCTCACTATATTTCTAATTCTAAGATACTATTACATATATAAAATAAAGAAATTAAAACTAAAATATAACAATCTTGATGTTCAATGCTTTCGATCTTATTTTCTTTATTTTGGTCAATTACTAATAATCTTTAATTCCCTAATCAAGTTGAGAAGCTGCATGTCTATGGTTGTTTCATTCCCTTCATGTTCTTTTTTGATGTAGTCACATATTAGCTTTGTCGATCTCAAGTTCATAATTCTTGCAAAACTGGTGGTTGAAGCTACATAGTATAAGAAATACTTAACTTTGGTCTTCCTTGTCTTTCCGTCTTTTTGATATCTCATTTGAGCGGGATTTTTAAGAAACGGTTGGACTTCATAGTCTTCATCTACACGTCTCAAATGTCTAAACCTTCAAGATATATATGCTGACATTTTAATGATTGTCCAAACATGATAATTTTCACCTTTAAATATAGGTATTGCAATGAAAATGTTTGTTTTCGTTTCAATTCTTAATATATTTGTTTATTCACTCATGGACTCACCTCTCAAGGGAGGAAAAAAGTTATGGTACCAATTTGTAGTTATATGGAAGGACAAAGCAAAAACAAACTAGAAATATATGAAAGACATCAATAGAGGATTGAAATTCATATAGGCACACACTTTTCAAGCATTAATCTTACTTCTCTTCATATAAAGCTAAAAGCATAACTGAAATTATAAAATAAAAAAATAAAAAAATAAAAAAAAATCAAATCAATGCGGTTAAAAACGAAACATGACAGTAAAAGATCACAATTACATCTCTTAAAATCTTGCTTTACTTACCATTAATTCAAAAATTGAAACTTTAAGGCGCGCATTTTCAACAGATTTCTTGATCTTGGCACAAAATCTTACTCAACCTTTCTTCGTTTATACTATTTACTTCTATGCACTAGTTCCCTACAAAATGATGAACACTATTTTTTTTTTATTCTGCTAACAAAAAAAAAAAAGATTGTTTATTGATGCATACACACCTCTTATGCATATATATCCTATATTATTATTATTATTATTACTATTATTATTATTATTATTATTATTATTATTATTATT